ACATTGGTGAATGCCACAAATTCTCCTAAATCACTCGTACGCACAACTTAAGAACAAATCTGTGCGTACGAACGGTTCTTGCATGAGGCCCACTGTCCATGATTTCCAAAAACAATTTGAAATGTGAATTCATCAGATCACAGGACACTTCTCCACTTTGCATCAGTCCATCTCAGATGAGCTCAGGCCCAGAGAAGGCAGCAGCATGTTGTTGATATCTGGTTTTGGCTTTGCATGGCAGAGTTTTAACTGACACTTGTAGATGTAGAGATGAAGTGTGTTCACTGACAAAGATCTTCTGAAGTGTTCCTGAGCCCATGTGCTAACATCTGTTACAGAATGATGTCTGTTTGCCTTCTGAGGGATCAAAGGTCACAGGCATTCGGTGTTGGTTTTCAGCTGCTTACTTGCAGAGATTTCTCCAGATATTCTGATTCATTGGATGATATGAAGTTCCTAAATTCCTTTCAACTGTACATTGATAAATGTTGTTCTTAAACTGTTGGACTATTTTCTCATGCAGTTCACAAAGTGATGAACCTCACCCATCCTTGCTTGTGAATGACTGAGCCTTTCAAGGATGCTCCCTTTATACCCAATATTGACACCTTTTTCCAATAAACCTGTTCAACTGTGGAATGTTCCAAACAGGTGCTTTTTGAACATTCCTCAACTTTCTCACTCTTTTGTTGCCCCTGTCCCAGCTGTTGGAACGTGCTGCAGTCATCAAATTCAACATGAGTGAATATTTGAAWTTTTTTTTTTATCTATTTGAACATTAAATATCTTGTCTTTGGAGTGTATTTGATTGAATATGTGTTGAAAAGGATTTTCAAATCCTATTTTTTTTATTATTATTGGTTGTATTCTGTTTTTTTATTTATTTTACACACTGTCCCAACTTCATTGGAACTGGGGTTGTATTACATTTAAAATAATACCTTTGGGGCAGATAAAATGTGAAGGAGGGTCAGGTTTTGACACGTGGATTAAGGTGTCCTCTCAGGAAGTTTGGCAGCTGTTTTAAATGTTTTCTACTTGTGAATAATATTTTTTTCTGTGCAACAGCAGACTAAWAATGCTTCTAAAATGACTTTAGATTTGCTAAACAGTCACTGATGATGTCTTTCCAACTTGCGATTAACTCACATCTAAGCTCTGATCAGCAAAAGGATAAAAACCCTTCTTTTATAGAGGCACTCACACTGAAGATAATCATTGAAGGCTTAGTTTATCAAACAAAGCTTTTCCATTTTGCCTTCGTTTTTGTTTCCTAAATAATGGCACAAAGGAATATGTTGAGTGTTTATGTACACTTCGATCGTTTTAAATAAGTCCCAATACATAAAACTTTATTTTTTCCCATGACTGTACATATGAGGAAGAAAATCGTTGCAACTCACTGTTTTGTTGACAAGCGTGTAGCTCATGTTGGTGCAGTAAAAGGCCTCACTGCCGCAGCATCCGCCGCAGCGATGCAGCGCCACGCAGCGAGGGAGGTACAGCTGACTGGTGGATTCTGGGTATTCTTTGGTGACCTCGATGCACACCTCTCTTGGCTGGCATGAGGTACGCTGGATCTCCTCAAGGATGACTGCAAAGATGATTGAGTGACTGGATTTTGTTTGACATTTTGAATATGAGCTTTTTGGGTAGATTATCCACTTTCCAATACCACACACTTTTATTTGCCTTGGGTGCAATCAAGTCTGTGTAGCAGTCTATAAAAACATAGTTTCTGTGCTTACATCACCACTGATCTATTTGAATGTCTTGAGGCGTGACACATTTTGGATGTGATTTGGTGCAGTTACAGTTTTTCAAAGTGAAGCTCTGGTTAAAAAAAAGAGAAAAAAAGACTTTGAATTTACCTTCTAAATTTGCATCCATTTTGTAAAGAGCTTCCTCCCTCATCTGAACCCACATATTGTCACTGGTAGCGTGGACTGATGGGCTCGCTGAAGAGGCTGAAAATGATGAGGAAGGAAAAGAAGAGGAGGAAGACGAGTCGAGCCACAGTTTCTTCCTCATGCATTGCTGAATCAARCTGTATTCAGGGTAGAGAAGCTGTAGGAGCTGATCCACACTTGTCACTGTGTCCAAACTGGGCTGATCATCTGAATGTTTTGGAGACTCCATGAAAAAAAAAAAAGAAATGAGAATATTTATCAGAATTTTTGTTTTGTTTCACGTGTCACTACAGATCACTATATGCCTGGATAAAATCACAAAGAAGGTATTAAGAAGATGTCAGATGAGGAGATAAGCTAAAACAAACTTACATTAAGCTCTTGTAAGTAGAATTTTCATGCTTTTTTKTGTAATCTGAAATAAATACCCAACGTACTTTAATGATTTTGAAAAGTTTGACTTATAGGTTTGTTTTGTGGAGAAAAAACATTAGTTCTGACAGAATTTAAGTAGTGAGATTTTCTGGTCTGTGCTAGATAAACAACAAATACCTCAGCTACCAATGTGTTGTAACATGTTGCCGTCGGCTACTGTAAGTCATTAAGAACATGTTTTTTCACCTGCGAGCACTCTTCTAGCAGTGTTTATTTTTGTTCATTTTATGTATGAGGACCCTTTAATTCTTAAAGGGGTCCCCAATTAGTTGTAACATTAGACTTTATTTGATAAACATATATTTTAACTGTAAAATAAAGACTGTAAAAATACTGTAGGATGTTTAGTTTTTATAATTTTTCAAAACATATTTTAACATGGACAGAACCATTTTATTTACACACAAAGCATTCTGGGTAAATGATGACGTGGATAGGTCCTCGGTGCAAGGCTGCTAGCGAGCTATATCC